ATATGGTGTTGAAGATATAAAATTAATTAATGATAATACTTAATACTATAGTTAAAGGAAATATTTTGTGTGAAGATCACCATTAGCACAGCTTTTATGTGATCCATGGTGAGATCAATTGCAAAGCCACGATTCTTCCGAATTTGTAGTAAGACATCAATTATGTCTTCTTGCTCTGTTTTTTGCCTATTTGGATTAAGATGCTCATCAATGAGTTTTTGATAAAAAGCATCAAACTTTTTGAAATTTTTTTCAAGACGACTAAGAAATCCAGAAAGCCTATCAACCCAACCCATGAAAGGAAAATAATCAGAAACACATAAGCTCGTAAACAGGGCTTGGCTTTCATTAAGCAACCCATGAAACCTGCTTCTTTCAACGCCTTCTTCTTCATATCTCTTACCGAATCCTATTCTACAAATTATTGTACTAGTGAGACACATAATTGCCTCACTCAAATTGACAGGTTTAGAATTAAGAGATAATTTGGATATTTTTGTAATTAGGCGAGCAACTTCATCTTCTCGAATGGGACGATAGAGTTGCACTCTATTAAGATTAAAAAGATGAACAACACATATTTTTCTAATCTCCCTCCAATAAGCACTATACGGTGAAAAAGCCAAATCTAAACCATTATAAGATAATTTCTGCCCTCCAAGTAAAGTAGGCCTGCTGCAGCAGTCGAGGTCATGGGTTTTCATAACCTCTTTAGCGGTTTCTACTGAAGAAACTACTAGGATTGGCCTAAATCCAAATCTCAAGGACATGAGAGGGCCATACTTTTGAGAGAGTTTCCAAAGAAAAATATGAGGGGCTGAGTTATCAAGCAGCTGCATGTGTAAGTGACCGATAAAGGGGAGACCTGGCGGGCCAGGGGGGAGAGGACCATTGCCATTGTTTCTATCTTTTAGGAGAATGAATAGAAAGACGCTGGGGACGGCTAGAACAAAGAACAACAACACTACCATTGTGATCTACTCGATCGGTGGAGCAACTTTGTGAAAAATGAGAGCAAGAGTCTCCTTATATAGACTAATTATCAGACACGTGTGACCAAAAAATTTTTAATAATCAGATTCATGGACGGCATGATAGTCCCAATTAAGGGCGGAGGGTAAGCCAGCAGCCCTCCCAAAATTTTTAAAAATATTTATTTTTTATATATATTTTATCAATAGCCTCTTCAAAAATTTTTGAAAATTTTTATTTATTATATATTATTAATGACCCACTCAAAATAATTTTTTATTTAATAATTAATATAAATAAAAAAATAAAACAACCTCACAAACCTACTTAATTTTATCCTAATTTAGGTTTCTCTACACCTCTTTTTTTTTCTTTCTCTTTTTCTCTTCTCTTTTCTGTCTTTTTATTTTTATTTCTCTTTTTTAGTAACTCACCATAAGAACACGCTTGATTCTTTAAAAGAGATTTATGAACTTGTGAGTTTGGAAACGGAAAGACAAAAATCACTCACCACCATTGTGTAAAATTAAGAAGAGATAAAGTTTTCTTTTATCTTCTTCTTTCTATTTATATTATTTAACTATTATGTGAAATCTTATATTTCGTATTTAATTATTTATATTTAATTTCTTATAGTTTTATGTTTTATTTTTTAAGTTTAAATATAAATAAATAAGAATATTGAATATTTGGTTACATTTTTTTTCAGTTTTGATTAAAATATGAGTAAGTTGAAGACAATTGACAAATTTTTTAAAAATTGATAAATTTTTTAAAAGAAAAGAGGTAGATCGCTCAAATGATTCTCCTACACTTGAG